TGGCCCTAGACAAACAAGGCAAGTCCTCCTTTCACAGGCCTGTAAGTAGCCAATATCCAAAAAGCAAAAGGAGGCTAGTCTTCCATTTCTATGGTTGTTCAAATCATGTTGATGTTATTATTTTCCTAGCCACTAGTCTATTGATTTCAATGGCATGCTATTAAAGTTTCTAATTCTATAAATATAGCAGACACTTTGAGTCATTCTGGTTCTTTAATTTCTTTGCAATGGTGCTCAAAATATTTTACCATCAATACTTAACTACTGGTAGGTAGTGGCTTTAGGGTAAATTAATTATTCGAGTCTAGAAATCACCTAGAATGTGTTAATAGGTAGTGTCCAGTTGAGATTTAAGTTCACAATAAGTGTACATTTTGTTCAGCTGTCCCTTTGCAGGCTAAACGGGGGGGGGGGGGGGGGGGGTGTTTCCTTAACATTAAGCCTCTTTAACAGAATCTGGACATGAGGAGGTCTTTTATTTGGGTCTTTTGAATTCAAAGAACAGAGATTCACTCAGATGACTGGGGATGGGCAGCAGGGTCACTATAAGAATATATGGAGGAGTGAGGAGACTGTCAGGGCTACCAAGAATCATCTTTTCCCAGTTCTCAAGAAAGGAGTCCAATGGACCCAGCTCTTTTTTATTTATTTATTTATTTTTAGCCAAGATTTACAGATCACCTAGGGATTATAGGCACACCTAAGGATTGGCTGCTGTTGGTAAGGCTGTGCACATCTGGCCAATAAAGCCAGGATAGGTGATCAAGAATGTAGCCATGAATTACAGAGTGCAGCTGACTCCTGCAGTAGACCTGAGTGGATGACACAGAGTCACTGTGAAGGTGGTGTGGCAGGCAAGCCATTACCCATGTCCAGTGAAGCTCAGTGTGCTGTTAAACGTCAGGTCCTAGCCTAGTTTGACTGCATGGAGCCCTGGCTCTAATACTTGTTACTACGGGATTTTGGTCAAGTTAATTAATCTATTTGATTTTTTAGCTTCCTCAATATTAGGACCATTTAAGGTCATTGTGAAAAGTCAATGAGTTAATTTATGTCAAGTCCTTAGGCCACTGTCTGGCTCTGGAATCACTGAGCAATCTAGGTTGACCAATTGCATCTGGTGTCATAGAGCCAAAGCACCCCCCTTCTCATTTATTATAGGATGTCTCTTCAAGGGATGGTGTCTGGCTAAGGAAGGGTGAGGCACCAAAGTCCTCTTTTAAGGTAAAAAGAACCCTGGTCAAAATTTTTTTTCAAAAAGACTTTCAATCAGCCCATAAATATGATACTTATGTTTTTGTGAATAGACTCCTTTTACAGTGATGTGTGCGTATAAATGTAGAATGTAAAATGTAAAGCATGTACTTATGAGCAGACATTCAAATTTAATTGTACAGTATTGTCTATATGAGATAGACAGTAAGACCCAATGTCATTCCATTTAGATATTCCTACTGGTTTTCAAAGGTAAGCATATGCTGCCATGACATGTGTTAGCGGTGTCGGTCTAAGAATGAACAATGACCACGAACAGATGGCCCTGGGCTGGGTGCTGAGATGGAAAAGCTGGCCCAGTTCACACCAAGTTTGGTCTTCTCCTTCCTCGAGTGACCCAGCCCTGAGGGTCACCGAACCTTGCTTCCCTGGGGAATGTGCTGGAGAAGAGGTCAGTGGCTGACTGCTCATTCTGAGAAGATGAAGACATAAATTCATATGCCTGGTTAATCATGCTAGGAAAACACGAAGAGTAACCCCGGGCGTTATCTTTTGGGCTGATCAGAAAATTTCCGTACATAAGATGGAATTCTGAAGCTTGCTTCATAGGATGTTCACGTTCAATAATGAGGTCATGAGGTTTCTGGCTCTTTGAGACAGTTTAGTCAATGGATGAAGATTCCAACTTGAGAGCTATTCCTGTGCATATTTTTTTCTCCTTTGCGCCTATATAATTTGATCAATTCTGATAATCGATCATTGATTCCTAACTCTGTGACCTCCTCTTAATTAAAAAATGCTGTCATTGAGGTTATCTATGGTGTCACACACTTTGTGGGTGGCCAGAACATGCATTCACTAGTTGACTAATGATCAGACAATCTTAAATCATTTTCATGTTCCAGACATAATCACATGTCTCCAAGTCATAAGTGTATGCCTTTTTACATCTTTGTAAAGACCTCTTCATGGACCCTGCCAACCCTGTCAAGTGGGGCCCTTGTTGTCCTGATTTGGTGACCATGTATTCAATCTCTGATGCTCGTGATGCTAGGTTAATGGCCATATGTAAGGGCCATGTTCAAAACAGCTGCTTTTCTTTTTTTCCTCTTTCCCTCCAAATCAGAACACAGTTGCTTTGGCTGAACATGAGATAAAGTGATGGGCTTCCATTTAGAAGACATGTTTTACCAAGAACATATGCTTCTTAAAGACTAGACTCCCACTCAGCGTGACGGGATAGATCTGTACCTTTGGCCGGGCAGGCAGAAATGAATGGAGAGGCAGAGCAATGACCCCAGTGCAGTGTCGCACCGAGGCAGGGGCTTGGGAGCAGGGGCTGTGAAGTCACCGTACTTGTAAACCATCCTCTCTCCCAGACCGAGCACGTACAGTTAAATTAGGGTAAATGCTATCAGTTGCCTTTTGCAGATTAAGTGGGGTAGGGAGATCTCCTTATGAAGAGAAAGATATTCCTTACAAAAGACCTATCAGAGCTCTTAGGCATCGACGATGTTATTTTAGGTGTGCGTGAGACTGTCAGCTTCCATTTCACATTCTGGTTGGATCTGGAAGGTGATCTGGGAAAGCACTGGCATGGATTTGAGTCCTTCTCATGTGTAACAGGGAAGAGTAGGCTTTAATTGCAAAGAGTGGGGGCGGGGGAGGAGGGAGCATCTTTCAGATGGAAGAACCTTGTGTGGCATCTGAACTATTATTTGAGAAAAGCCTGTGCCGTTTCAGAAAAACAGGAGAGGAGCTTACGCAAAGCACTGCTCCCGTTCAACCTGTCCACCCAGATGCCTGGCCGAGCTCTGAGAGTCCACCTGCTTGCCAGGCGGCTCCTCCACCTTCGATCCCATCGGGATGGAGAGGTAAGCATTAATATTCAAAGACAACGTCCCAGCAACAACGTGCCAGAGAAAAGGTGTCACAGGCAGCATCGAGAGGAAGATGACCAGGTGTGGAGAGAACAAAATCATCTTCTTCTCAAATATACGAAAAGAAGCTTCATCAGAGATATTCTAACTGCATATCTCTATATGCTATAGACCATGATACACATTTTTTCTGTTAATTTTTTAAAAATTGTTTCCCACTGCTGTTCCTGATGGAAGTGCGCACATCTTAATACCAAGAACCCGCTGCCACAGCCTCTTCCCCATCACATCGCCGCTGCCTCCGCCCCACAGGGGAGACTGCCAGTGCTCCCTGGGAAAAAAATAACAACTAATTACATCATTCTTCTTCGCTCCGGCACCTACCGAGGCTTGCTCAGACACATTCAACCTGTTACCACAATCCGTGATTTATTCCCAGGTTTCATTGAGTGTAATGAATAGCATCTCTCTATTCAAAATGATCAGCTTATCTTTCCTTAAAGAGGTTGACTAGCCAAAAAGCAATCTCATTATGTGCAATAAAAAGATATTGAAGTGTTTTATTCTTAAAGTAGAACAGGCACGGAGATGCCTCTTAAGGATGGAACGTACTAGGAAAACTCACTGTTTCAAATCACTGATAAACACTTAAGCTATCTGTTCATGTATGATGGAGGTAGCTGAGGTTTTTTTTGTTTGTTTGTTTTTTACAGTTGAGGTTTTTTTATTTTATTTTTTTATGTTTAACAGATAGATCACATGGAATCTCTGTAGGTTATTTTGTTTATAGTACAGATTGTCATCAACAAGCTAATGACAAACATGTAGGCACCGGCTTATTGATTAGCTCCCCGATGGCTTATGTAAAATCCTTATGTATTTATTGTCATGGACTCTGTGTCTGTATGCGCGTGCGCGCATGTGTGTAAGAGACCCAACAAAGCTGAATGGCTCAGAATGATAAAAACACGATATTGTGCTTCCAAGCTAGCTGTTTTATCATGTAAAATATGGCATTTTCTAAAATGATGATTTACACCCATCTGAAATCAGATTTGATCCCTGGATCCTTTCAAGACTGTGGTTGCGTGATGCCTTCATGTATGTGCTGCCTGTGTGCCTGCTTCATTGGAAGAACACACAGCGGTCCCTGTGACATTACATAAGCCTGAACGCAGACCGGAGGGGAGCGTTGCTCCCCTCCAGAGCCACCACTCAACACACACACATCCAGGGGTGTCTGCGTCGCTGTAAATTGCCAATATTTCCCCATTCTCAACCTACAAAAATGACAGTTTCCCGTTAGCGTACACGGGCAGATGGACCTACACAGGCGCAACAAAGCATCTGAAGACCCCGCGGCGTGTGCCACTCAGAGGTGGCGACAGCCAGGTCTGCGGGCAGGAAAACCTAACACTGGTGGCTTCATCTATATTTTAATCGCAAACATGCCCCCCCCCCAAAAAAAAAATATTTTTAAAACAGGTGTCCCTCCCCACCGAACCGGGAAAAGCAGGCTCCGGGTCTTTGTTCCGGGAGATGCCCCTTCAGAGGATTGAGGAGGGTTACATCACCAGGCGTCTCAGCTAAGCGCCGCCGGTGCCAGAGACTGCCTGTGCTCACACCGGCATCCCTGGCCCCATCTCGACAACCATGAAAACATGCAGCTAACACAGGCTCACCAGGACAGGTCTAAGGCAGTCCTCGGCCACAGCACAACACCCCCCGCATCCCTGCCACCTGCCAGCTCCCCGGGTCTCCCAATAACGGAAACGGGGCAGCCTGAGGGGCCCGCTAGCGGAGAGGGACCCCCCAATGCCCACCCCGGGGGCAGCGCCCGAGACCTCCTGGCAATGCCTAACCAGCCGGGAGCTATGCCGTCGGAGCCAGCCCCCAGCACGGTACCTTTCTGGGTCTGCCCCTCTTCCATGTTCTCCTCCATGGCCACCGCTCTGCTCGGAGTCTGGTCCCGGGTGAATCAGAAGCTCAGTGAGATGCTGGGGATGGGCACGGGCGGCTCTCCTCCCGGGAGGCTGGCTCCCGCCGCAGAGGCTCGGACAAGCCCCCGGAGCTGAGCCCCGGCTCCTCGCGCCTCCTGTCCGCGTGGAGACAGGCTGTCAAGTGCGATTTCATTCAAATCACTCTCCCGTGAAGATGATCAATGTTCCTCCCCGGAGCTGCCCGGTGTGCAGCGCTGGAGGCACGGAGTCGTCACGCAGGCAGCCGGAGCGTTTTGGGGGGAAATCTGGTCTGGATCCTGGGAGCGGGGACTCTATGATTCATAAGCCTCGCTTTGCATGTAAATGGGGGGAAGGCAGAGAGGGCTGTGTTGGATTCTGGGCTTTCAATGGGAGGAGGCTGGGCTGCACACAGGCGGAGGGGGGCTCCTGCAGGAGGAGACCACCACCCCGACCCCCCTTCGCCACCACAGTGGGCAAGCCCAGAGCCCGTCCCTCTGGGGGCGGCAGGAGCGGATCCCCAGCCTCAGGCCCTCAGAGGGCGGTTTCTTTTCTTCCCCTCCAGAGGAGCTGGCTAATCTGATTAAAGAGTGCCCCAACCATACAGCTGTGCCATCGCCAGGTCTAACCTGTGAAGGGTTATTAGTATGAGAGGACGTGCCAGCTCACACCTTTCAGGTCTAAAAGGATGGAGGATGGTGCGGCTTTCAAAGCAATAAGTATAAATCTCTAAGCCTGAAAGGTATGTTTTAGGTAATTATTTTTCCTCAGTGCCACAAGGCTCCTCAAGGAAAAGGAGAAAAACACCCATATCCCACAAAAGCATCTATCGCTATCTTCGTAATTTATTGTTCTGATCACAGCCCACCGAAACTGCTGATTTTAAAAGGGAATCATCCTGAAAGAGAATTGTTTCAGGGGCCATTCCTGGAGAGAGAGGAGGGAGACATTCTAGAAAAAGGAACCAGGGGCTAAGTAATTCATAACGGGCGTCCACAGACTGATTTGGAATGCAAATCCCAGCATCTGTGCTTCTGCCTGAGTGGCGGGGCACAGCCCCGGGCCCCGTGGCACAAAAGGAGCAGTGAGAAAACAAACAGCGTCTCTTTCAGGGGGAGCAGACCTCCGCCAGAACCTGAAGGAGGAAGAATCCCTGTCTCTGTTTCCATCGGTAAGCAAGCACACAGAGAAACACATACAGACATGGGCGCGCGCGCGCGCGCGCACACACACACACACACACACACACAGCACACACACACGCACACAGGCACATTGTATTCTTTCCCTTTCATCAAAAACACTCTACAGCCTAAGCAGATCTACCGTATGTGTTCCAGGCATTACAGGTTATTTCACATACATTTTAAAAGGCAGGTCAGTAGCATGTCACACCTCATCCTCTAAGTCATTACAAAAGCCACTGTTTAGAGGAGACTTCCTGTGCAACATTCCATTTTCTTTCTCAGTGGTTTCTCGTCAAAGGATGGCTCTCTTCTTGATTCTGTGACCACCTGCATGTGCTTTCTCTGGTCAGCTGAGCCGAGCCGCTGGGTAAGGATAAATGAAGTAAATCGGAAACCTAGGCACATCTGCGCCCCAGGCTTGGTGAGAGGCCCGCTTGCTCAGGGCAGGGCCAGGAGGAAGGCCCAGAGCCTCCGGCCACATGCTGCTGCCGCCGGCTGAGCTCCCTGGCCTGGCCCCTTGCAGAAGCCACGCGCTCCTCCTGACATGCCCTGCACCTGGCATACCTCACAGGTCACAGGGAAACAGACCATTACCAGGCAAAGCGATGGAAACAAAGCCACCTTAAATTCTCAGAGCACTTTACAGCCTGCAGAACACGCGCGTGTGCATGGAGCCGTTTGTAAAAAGAAACAGGGCAAATGCTATGTCCTCCCATTGTATGTTGGAAAAGCTGAGACCTGGGCACACCACAGCATGGGCTAGTCAAGGACCAAGGACCATGTCCGGGACGCCCTGTCTGAGGCTGTGAGTGAGGCCGCCTTTCCTGCTGCTCTGTCCTCGAGAGTGTCTCCAGCATCTTCCAGCTCCAGCTTCGGGCCTCGGCCTTCTTCCTGCCCCACACAGGAAGGAGGATGAAGGGGGATGGAAGAGACAGGAAGGCACTGGGTGAGACCAATGAGAAAGCAGCCATGACTTGTTTTCCTCCTGGAAACCTAGCTGAGCACCCAGTTCCGATAGTGACCCACTGTTCGTCTAAGGCAGATGTCTCCATGCCAAAATGGTTACCCACAGAAGACAACAGCATTGTATACAGATGTTTAAATGTACAAAGGACCACCTCAAATGCTAGCCAGATGGACTCGTGAGGAGAAACATGTGCACGCAGCTTCCTATGGCGGCCACCCATCAGAGCGAGGTCAAGTCTTCTGTTGCAGTCAAGTCTTTTGTTTTGGTCAAGTACACACAACACACACACGACACAACCATGTGATCATGGCTCAGAGCACAGTCCTGTGGCAGCAGGTAGTCACCACTGCCGCTCTCTGTGTCCAGAACTTCTCATCCTCCCGCAGGGAGACTCTGACTCCATGAAGCACGAACTGCCCTTCTCTGCCCTCTTTGAGTTGCTGTGGTTGATTTGTGTTTTTAGAATGGTTCTTTTTTAAAGACTTAAACTAATAATATTTTTAACAACCCACTATCTGAAAACTAGTGAGGAAAAAAAAATGGTCCTGGCTAGTGTGGTTCACTGGGTAAGCATCAACCCATGAACCAGGAGGTCACATGCCTGGGTTGTGGGCTCAATCCCCAGTAGGGATCATACAAGAGGCAGCTGATCAGTGTGGATGTTTCTATGTCATTGAAAAATCTCTCTCTCCCTCTTTCTTCCTCTCTCTCTAAAAATCAACAAAAGCACACTTAACAAAAAAGAAAGAGAAATGGTTGACAGTGTTATAGAACAACTTTATGAATTCCAAAAGCTACTCTATGAGCCTGAAGAATAGACAATGTTTTCTGCCTTTTCTCCTTCAAAACCTGTTAAGATGGCTCATCTAGCATTCTTTTCATGATACCACGTTGTATTCCCCTTGCTCTGTTTTTAGTCATTTATTTAAAAATATGAGTCCAATAACTAGCTTAAAAATATGGTAACAAATGTTCATCACAATTTCCCTTTCAAATGTTGTCTAGGAAATGTTTATAATAGATGTTCCCATTTCCCTGTGTTAGCTAGAAGACACATTATTCACTAAACCTCAACCTGTTGGAAGTCCTCATTTCTCCTAATTCAACCCTAGTTTGGAGTTGGCACTTTCTCTAACACTTCATCTTGTCTTTATAAACATTTTATTATATCAGCCAAGAATGTCTACATACTCTTCTAATAGATAATCAGTCATCTTTGTGATACAAGGTTCAACATAGAGACAAGGAAACATAGCTATTGAACAAATAGCAAGTTGAGGATCTCAAAGTTAGCATCAACTGAGGGAAAGGGAAAACCATGGTCAAGGTCCATGGGTCAGACACAGAAGAAAGGATGTGTGAAAACACAGTCATATGAACCAAGAACACAGCATACAGGACAAAGCACCATATGCCTTGTGTAAAAAAAAAAAATGCTCTTTTCCTCAAATGTTTCAGACACAGATCCATCATTAGCTCCAAAAATAAAAGTGTCTTAGTTGGTTTTACTGCTGGTGTAAGCTCTAGGTCAGAAATGGACTGCCATAGGATTTTCTCAAAGAGACTAAAAATGACCACAGACACTTGAATTTTTTTAAAATGCTCAAAGCATCAGAACATTCTTTGGGGTTGTGCCATTGTATAACACAACTGATTCATAGAACCACCAACTCTTAAGAGTTGTAATGACCATTAGGAGTTGGAGTGACCACGGATGTTCTAAACTTAAGTATCGGCAGGACGCACAAGTCACCAGCAAACTGCCCGCTGCAGCTGTCCTCGATAAAACCCAAGGCTTTCACACGCATAGGATCTGCTGTAGGCAAGAGAGAGAATTCCCTGTCGCGACGATGTTTACAGTCTAACAGCACAGGTGGGTCCAGAGCCTCCATTCTGTGCGACATGTGAAACTGATCCGGAAATGCGAGCACGGGAGCCCACAGAAAGGACAGCTAGCCTGCTCTCTGGCTCGCAGCTGGGAAAGAGTCCTTGCTTTTCTGGAAGGCATAGGCTGATCCGACTTTCAGAGGCTGAACGAGTTTTTCACGGCGGCCCAGCTGGTAACTGAAGGAACCGGGGTTCGAATTTTGGTCTTTCTATTTTCGCACTCACCCCCACAGACAAGATAAGCCATTCAGTACTAAGCACAGCCATAAAGCAGCTCATGTCAAGTTGCCTTCATTTCTGAATAAAGCCTTAGTGTTACTTTAGTGACAATGGACATAAGCTTACACCTCAGCTGAAGGATGGATTTTTTTCCCTCCATTCATTTGAACTAAATTTTAATAATTTAGAAATAACAGCTAAACCTAACCTTACACACCACATTGGATATTGCAAATGACATGCCTATAATATAAATAAGTAAGGAGGGAGGGAGGGAGGGAGGGAGGGAGGGAGGGAGAGAGAGAGAGAGAGAGAGAGAGAGAGAGAGAGAGAGAAGAGGGAGGGAGGTAGTACATGTCAGGCAAAGCTACAGCTTGTCAGAAGTTCTGAGTTTTGAAATACCGATTTTAAGTCTTGCTTTGAATGTTCTCGCAGACACAGATGTTAGGGAAAACCCTCTGAAAAAGCTGATTACACAATATGGTGCACAGAGAAATGACAAGGAAAAACACAACACGACTCCGACTCCTCAGCTTTGTAATAAGCATGTTGGTCTTCTTGCTTAGACATTCCATTGCAAGCACTTTTATGGGTGAAAAAACATGTGAACGTCTACTCTTACATTTCCAGAGATCATCGTAGGTGACCTACAAATTCTTATCTCTAGGAGGAGACTAGTCACAGACGGACAACTGCTCTCATTCTCACAATGGCCTGGACCCAT